TTCCCTACCATTTTGTTTGTAACTCTGTATTGTCTGTATTGTGCTTGTGATATGTTGTAAAATGTTGTATGTCTGTTAATGTTTCCCTCCTTTTATCTTTAAAATTTAAAAAAAAATTCCTGTAATTCCTGTTGTAGTACATGAGGCTAGGATCCACTCTGGATGAATCCATAGCCCTAACTGACTCTGTGGAGTCAACTTGGTCATGACTCTACAACAGAGGCATAAAAGGAAGTGTTATGTAGAGCAACCTTAGTTTCATCCCACATGTATGGAGAGGTCTCTTTCCATTTCTTCTTCCTCCTTGCAGTCTTGTTTCCTGAGTTCAGGCCTGGTTCTTCTGGGACTGGAGTGTATCTCATCAGAGTGCACAGGATGCCAAGGAAGAACTTCATGCCTTATTTTTGCTGTTCTCTTCTCCGAGAGAAGCACAGGGTCAGTGAGTCTTAACTGCAAGTCTGCAACTCATAGATATTTGGCCCCTTCCATACATGGCTGTTTCTTCATTTCTGGTTCCCCACCTAGACTGAGTAGGGTTTCCAGTCTGTAGGGTTGGATAGTTCTGTACACAGTGTACTCCCACTTCCTATCCTTTCCAGCTCGTCTTCTGGGTCTTCCCTTCCATCCCCCTGAAGATGAATGTATGGGTGGTGTCCTTCTGATGCTGGAGAGAGTGGTCACCATGTGATTGACCTCGTTCCCTTGACTCCAGTAGGTGACCTAGCCTAAAACTGCCTTGAGATATACAGGTGCTCAGTGGTACAGACTGTTCCCTGGCTAAGTCCCTTTCCCAGAGTGTAGACAGGGAAGGGCTTGTCATTTTTGGATGCCTTACGTGGGAGTCTCAGGGACGAGATGCATTGGGGATTTCAGAGTCTCAGCAGCAGGGGTCTCTGAGGACTTCTCTTCTGCCCTGGGCCTCCAGGTGAGGGCATCTCAGCCAGGTTCCTCTCCTCTGATTGTTCCTTGATACTTTGAGGAGCCAAGCTTGATGGTGTATATCTGTAATTCCAGGGGAATGAGGATTGGCTCAGGTGGGCTGCACAATTAGACTCTGTCTCAATGAAAACAAAATACAAACAAATACGGCACAAAACTATCAAGAATTTCTGCAGAACCTAGTGTGTTCTGTGAAGCCCTTATCCCTAGCCAGAAATCATGTTACTGTCAGCATGTGTGACAGCCAAACAGCGTTTCTAAGGACTCAGAAATGTCACTGTGCATGGATGCCCTTGGGAATTTTTCACTGAAAATCCCTGCCATTACTAAGAAAATAATCTGTACCTTATTCCAGACTAAGTAACCCTGAGAATCCCCTAAGCATGATGTGGTGCCAGGATGAGAATTTGTTGGTTCCAATGTTATAGTTGATAGTGAGAAACACTCAGGGAGGATAAGAATGGATACAAGTAAGCTTTATTGTGAGCTACTGAGTTTTTATACATTTGCAAGTAACCATGGGAAGCACATTACTTTACTTCGGAATTTTTCAAGAATGTCACAAGGTTAACATTTTCCAAGGTTTTTTTAGTCAAGCAGGAAGCAGTTAAACTTTTAGCTTCTCCCACAGTTTCTTTTACTTGTTTCTTTCCCTTGTTAACAACTTGTCTTTCTTTGTGGCTTTATGATTAACTAAATGGGAGGGGTGAGGAGTGTGTTCATCTAGAGTTTAAGTGTCTTTTAAAATGCATCCCAGAAACAGGATGGAGTTACACTGGCCATGTCACCATCATTGGTTCAGAATGTTCTAGACTTTTGCTGCTTTAAAAAGTGCATGAGGGACTATTCAGGCAGTCACCCTTGAGCATGAACATGAATACAAACATGACAATGAGTTGGAGAAGGACAAGAACTAGGACCAGCAGGAGCAGGAGCAGGAGCAGGAGCAGGAGCAGGAGCAGGAGCAGGAGCAGGAGCAGGAGCAGGAGCAGGAGCAGGAGCAGGAGCAGGAGCAGGAGCTGAGCATGAGAAGGAACCTGGACAGGAGCAGAAGCAAGACCGGGAGCAAGAGCAGTGGGAGGCACCATGAGAGGAAGAATTCTCTTGGTCAGCAGCCAGATCCCTGCTTTAGGAAAGGTTTAGCCATTAATGGAGAACTCAGTGGGTACAATGCTGTTACCCCTCTTCTGGGGCATGTGACAGGTAAAAGGGAATCTTGTATAGGAAATTTCTCCCTTCAAATTGTCTTCGTCCCATTTCATTATTTATCTGTTGGAGATTGATAGATGTAGATAGTGAGGAGTGGGTCAGAGCTGTAAATTCCTGGCTTCTTTGCTCCTCCCAACTCCCCTAGCATCCTGTCCCACCTTGCTCTTGTGAAATGGCATTCTCTATCTCACACGGAGAGCCCCCCCACAGGCTGTGGCTGTGGGAACCAGTCTCTATCCTTGTCTTGGTCTCCTCAGGGGAAGCTCTGCCCATGTGTCCACATTGCATATGCACTGAACTGTCAGTTTTGCAGCAGTTATGTTTGGGTGCCTCCAATTTGGGTCAGAAAGGGAGTCATATATATGTGTTAGTGGAAAATCTGCTTCATTTTAGCTGGAATGGAGTTGGTTTCAGGTAAGCTGGCACCAAAGAATCAGACATATTGCTGGAGCCAAGGTCTAGCTGTAAAACGCCACATAGCACACTAATAGTTTCATCTACTTATAATTGGCCTAGAAACCATGTAGGAAAAAGCATCTAGGATTACCCTCAAGAAGTGATGATGGCTATGATTGAAGATGGCTGCAGGCATGTCCATTTGCATCCATTCAGCTTGGGAAAGGCCACCTTTAGTAGGTGAGAGTTATTACTGCTGTATGAGCTTTGTGAAAGTCATTCTATTCCAGCCTCGCCTCAGCACTGGCAGTTTCATTTTGAGGGGCCTCTCATCCTTCCTTACCTCCTTTGCCTCAGATTTCTAATTCCCCTTTGGTAAATTAGATTTCTAATTCCCCTTTGGTGAATCAGTTATTCTTTCAGTTGACATAATCTCTTCATGTCCGCTTCCTGGGACTATACTTGTAGTACTTAACGATCGATAGTGACTTATTTCTTGAGGGAGTAATTTGGGGTCACCAGCATGATTAGGAAACCTGGGGTGAGGGAAGCAATTCATTGTAAATGTACTTTATCTGCAAGAATAGGTTGCCAATATCTCCTACCTGTGTTTACAATGCCCACGCAAGGCGCTGGCAAGCAAATGAATATAAACAGACTGTCACTGGAACCTGACCAGACAGGCATAGGTGTCATGGGGTTTGTGTGAATTTCTGTGTGGGCACTGGAAGGTGGGAAGGGAGTAATGGTCTAGACTCATGTTTTTCTTGGAGGCATGATATGGGATATGCAAGGATATCTATATAGCGATAAGACAAAATCAGTTCAAATGCGGAGAGTTGGACAGCATTAATTTTAAAATTGTGAAAAAAAAAATTTTAAAATTGTGTTCTAGGAAGACAGTAATTTTTAGGCAGTAAGATGCAGGCTCCATTCCGTGGCACTGGATACCTGCCTTGCCCAGCCCTCTGGATTCTCACTTCCTCTTCCGGTATAATCTAGGCCAGACTCTAGTCCTGCATCACTGTGCATGTTCCTGGCTTCGGTGAAGTCATGCTGCTGCATGTGGCGGCCTTTGTGGGCTTGTTCTACCTCCTGCGCTGGTACCGGGAGAGGCAGGTGGTGAGCCCCCTCCAAGACAAATATGTCTTCATCACGGGTTGTGACTCGGGCTTCGGAAACCTGCTGGCCAGACAGCTGGACATGCGAGGCATGAGGGTACTAGCCGCGTGTCTGACGGAAGAAGGGGCCGAGCAGCTGAGGAAGCGGACGTCAGCGCGGCTGGAGACAGTGATCCTGGACGTCACCCAGACAGAGAGCATTGCTGCAGCCGCCCAGTGGGTGAAGGAGCGTGTGGGGGACAGAGGTACCACCCGAATTCCTGTCTGTGTCTTTGGGCTTCTGTGTGTGTGAAGGGGGCACCTTCTGTGTGCTCCCTGGGCAGCTTTTAAAGTAACCCCGAGGAGGTGGTGCTTGAAGTGAGACTAACTTCCTCCCCCTCCCTCTAACAGTAGCCTGAGCCCCTTCTCTCTCCTGCAGCCCTTGGAACCCTGGAGTCTTGATGAGTGGGGCCCTGTTGGGAATCTGGCCTCTCTGTTCAGATTTCCTCTCTGTCGTCTGACTGCCTCTCTAAGCAGAAGTTCTGGTTGCTGGATGCCGAGTGTCTGGTTGGCAATGGGATATCTTTCAGGAGGAGGGCTGTGGACTGGCACCCTGTGCGGTGGCTGGGGAAATGCTGGAGCTGAGCTCATGTCTCTGCACTGCAACTTGTTCTTACTACGTCCCCAGCATCCTCTACCTGGAGAGCCAAGTTCTTCCCATTTAGAGCAGCTGGGGGATTAAACTGGCCTCAGAAAGGCAAAAATTGGGGCTCGCCTTTACTCTCTCTTTCACCAAACTATCTTTTCAGTGCTGTTACTGGGGGAGAAGGTAACATGGTTTGATTTCATCCAGGAATTAATGTCAACTATAACTGTTATCAAAAGCTCAGGAGTGCATAAAGGCATAATAAGCATACTGCACCAACTAGGGATAAATCCCATTAAAAGCTTGTCGTATATGGGATTATTATTGTTATTTAGAAGCTTAACTGTGTGTGGGATTATATTTTGTGCACAGTTTATAGTTATTCTTTCAGTTGACAAACAAATAGGAGTAGTTTTACTACCTAATGAAGATTTCTTTTAAAAATATAATTAATGATTTACATTATTCTATCATCTGATACAGCCTTACTTCTTTAAGCACACAGAATGGCTGGACATTAGAATTGTTCATACATCTCATTGTCATAAATGCTATCTTGGTAATCTTTCACTTACTTAAATCTCTACAGACACCTCTACCACTGGGTTGTTAGAGATAAAGTATGTTAGCGATAGAATATGTTTTCCCACAACAGCAGTGTGTGCTTGTGGTCATAGGAGGCTCAGAATCCCTGGGCCTGCTGTTCCACATCGTCCAGCCAAACCCTTGCCAAAAATGAAGTGATTCGCTGCCCATGTGGCATGTTGGGAGGAAAAATAGGTTCTAGTGATAGTGCTTGGACCTTGCAGACGGGCCACCCGATAAATGCCCTGGGGAGCTAAGGGGATGAGCCAGGGTGACCTTCTGGGGAAGTGGAAGAGGGGTGCCATTGTCTGTGGCAGAGACCGAGGTATGTAATGGGGATGGGGGATTGCATCCTGACCCCTGGTTTAAGGTTTTGTGTTGGGTTTTGCAAGCACACTCTCAGGGAGATGTTCAATATCAGTGGCCAGGTTTCAAAGTATGTTTAATGAGGACAAACACACCATTCGTTTCCAAATTCTCCCCCAAGGACATCATCAGTTCTTTATTTCTCAGCAAACTTCTATGCATATGCTCGTCTTACTTTTTTTCTATTTCTTTTTTATCTGTTTCTTATCTTCCTATGTATTCCTTTCTCCTATTTTTTCTTTCCCTTGATAGATAGTAGTGCAGCACTGTGAATAAAATGTTGAGAATATCTGACAAAATAAAATGTCTGAAGGGTGACGTTCATTTGTAAAAGGCAAAGGTATTCTCTATACTAATGGATGCACGCTGTTTTGTCAACATCTATTCTTATAAAGATCAAATACAAGGCGGTTTTGTGTTACCTCCCAGGCAGTGAGCTGGGCCATAAAGAATCAAATATAGAAAAAGACATCAACTCTGTCAACCAGCAACTCCGAGATGTGTAGCCTGAGTCTGGCAGATACGGGCTTGTTTGTGTTCTGTCCTTCTTCCTTCCCAGGACAGAATGCTTTCCATTGCTGTGAGGTGAGTGTGAGCCACAACTGTGAACACACACTGAGTGTGGCTCTCTCATCTTCCTGCTCCTTCTAGGACTCTGGGGCCTGGTGAATAATGCCGGCACCTCCTTTCCCTCTGCTCCCAATGAATGGCTGAACAAGCAGGACTTCATGGACGTACTCAATGTGAACCTGTTGGGGGTCATCGAGGTGACTCTGAGCCTGCTGTCTTTAGTGCGGAAGGCCCAAGGCCGTGTGGTCAATGTCTCCAGTGTCATGGGCCGGGTTTCGCTCTTTGGTGGTGGCTACTGCATCTCCAAGCACGGCGTGGAATCCTTCTCGGACAGCCTCAGGTACTGGACAGGGATGGGGTCTCCTGGTGTTCCTGCTCACATTATTTTGGAGAAGTCTATTTCAGGGTGTCAGTTAGTTCTAACCTTAGAGACCCATCATGGAGATCCGTCCCTCTGAGTTTGGGACTCTCTCACATCCCCTTTCTGCACTTGGGTGGTCATTTTTGGGGAGCCAGCATTCCATGTCTTGTGTAGAGCAAAGGCCTGAGTTCAGTTAAACTTCTCCTGCCCTGGAGGAGTGTTCACAGGTGGAAGTCTCTGAGGTCAAATTGTAACAGGGATGATTTGCACCCAGAGTCAGACACATGACCTGTCTTGTCCAGCTGGATTGGAGATTTCTTACCCAACTCAGCAGGTGCTTATTCAGCTGTTCCTTGAGTGCATGATAAGTGATTTCTAGTGCAACATTAATATTGCATTCTTGAGCTAAGACCTCTGGCACATGTGTGAGAGAGAAGAGAGACAGAATCATCAGTGCCTTCTCTTAGAGTGGTTGTGCCCAAGCGACCCATGGTGAACATGGCAGCTGCAAGGTGTGTGTAGGACTGCTGGGAGGGTGAGCACAGGTAGGTGTTTGAAGGGCCTGTGGCCCTCGATAGGTATGGACTTCATGCAGTAGGCAGGATGTTCCATGCAAAGGACTCGATTGCAGGAGCCGCTTAGGCCAATCAGAATCCAGGGACCCTGCTAGCTGCAGGGTAGAGGTTTCTCAGGCTGTGGATTGCTAGGACTGCATTCATGTTGAGCCACATTCCATAGAAGACAGTAGCAGGTGGATAGCTCCCTGGGCAGGAAATGGGAAGGATGGACCTGATTGTAGAGGAGGTGACATGAGCCAAGACTGGAGATCTATTTCAAATGAAGGGAATGGGAATAGATGGTGGTTTTTCTTTTAATTTTTGATACAAGGTCTCACTCTGTAGCTCACACTATCTTCTATTCTATATCCTCCTGCTTCAGCCTCAGAAGCAGTGGTTTAGAAGTGTGTATGCAGTGTCCCACAGTAGTAACTTATGAACAGGTAGGATTCAGACCTGTATGACCTGGTATATGTGAAAGGCTTAGAACAAGCTTTGCTCACAGAAACACAATGGCATCAGCACCGTTTTCAGCTCCTGCTGCTACATATTAGAAATCCCAAACTGCCAAATTGCTCTTATCCCAATCTTACCCTAAGGTAATGTGCTATCTCATTTTTTGTACTTTGCCTATCAAGACTGCTGAAGTGCCTGCCACTGCTTTGTGTCTTGCAGGAGGGAGCTCTCCTACTTTGGGGTGAAGGTGGCTATTATCGAGCCTGGTGGTTTCAAGACCAATTTGAGCAGTTGTGAAACACTCATGCCCAATTTTAAGAAGGCATGGGACCGGAGCAGCTCAGAGGTCAAGGAGATCTATGGCAAGAAGTTTCTCGAATCTTGTAAGTGAGCTGTGGACAGTGCGGAGAGGATCAAGCCCCTGCCAGGAATCCTTAGTGTATTCTGAATGTCCTGAATACCATGAGTCTTCCCAGGCTCTCTTCACACAAAGTAAAGATATTTAGTCCCATTCCCTTGGTGCCACTGGGCTGTGGTCATCTAAGGAAGGCTTCTCACTTATTGGAACTTCAGACACTCTTTCACCTCTACCCCTCAGTATCATGAAGATAAAATCAAGGAATAGAGCAAGCACAGGTACAGTGATGGCTCTCCGTCATGAGAAGCAGCTTACTGCACATGCTTGGATAATTTCATCTTCAAGAGACCTTCAGTTTATGCAGTCCTGATATCCCAGGAAGAGAGGTGGAGGGAGCTTTGTGTAGAACTATAGTTCGTTGAGAATGAGTTGCAGCCCTTCCTGGGGAATTTAGGTAGATGTGATTTGACCAAGTGTGTGGGGATGGGGATGAGGATGATGAAGCTTTAGGTAAAACTTTGTCCCTACATTGATCCTAGAGCAGGAATGGTGTGAAGAGGAAATAAACATGGATCATTTCTCGTTTTCTATAGTCCTCAAATATCCTCACCTATTGGAGAAAGTGTGGACATCAGACCTGTCCTCAGTGACGGACTGCATGGAGCATGCGCTGACTGCCTGTCACCCTCGCACCCGGTACTCAGCAGGCTGGGATGTCAAGCTCTTTTACCTCCCATTGAGCTACCTGCCCACGTTCCTGGTGGATGCCCTGGTGCACTTGTGCTCCCCAAAGCCAGCACAAGCCCTTTAATGCCAACTCTTGGGTGTGTGGTCGGGGTAGATGGGCAGTGTGTGGGTTGGGACATGTGAGGAAGGGGAAATGGGTGGAGGAAATCTGCTCTCAAACACTGGGGCACCTATCCCACCTTCTCGGTGCCAAGGATTCTTCTCAGGGATCACTCAAGACTGGTGAAGTGAGAGGGAAAGAGCCAAGGACCTCTGGTGAGGAATAGGGACTCAGCATCACTCACTGATGCCCAGTTGACAGGCAGCTGCTGATGGCTCTGAGCAACATGGCCAACCAGGAGGAATCTACACACCTGGGGTGGCTGGGAGCATGTGGCTGGGAGGATGTGGCGGGATGTGCAGCCCACACCTCACATCCCTTTGCCGTCCTTCTGAGGGTACACATTGTTCCTGGCTGCTGTCTATCTTCTCACAACATAGACTGGCCTTGGGGAAGTAGGGTCCCTCTCCTTTGCAATCAGTGTGTAGGTGAAATCAGGTGGGAGGGCAGCACCAGTCTGTGTCCTTGTCCCTAATTGGTTTGCCTTAGATCTCTCCTCCACACAGATCCTGGCAGAGTTTGAACACATTATCATGGTTTGTGTCTAGATGTCCCCCCTGTGCTCCATGAGATCATAGGAGGGGCTTCTTCAGATGTGCCTAAATCTAGCATGTGTGATGCTGGGAATAAGGGTGTGATTACTAAATAAGTCCACTGATTACTTCGACATTGTGTAGTGGGTTGATAACTGGTGGTCAATTTATAATCCCCAGCTGAACTGAGTAAGCGTAGTTCTGGGTGTGGGAAGCCCGCCTGGGGCCTGTTACCAGCAGCATAAGAGGCAGAACTGGAGAAGGGAAAGTTATGTCTGTTGGGAGCAGAGAAAGGCTGTTGGAGCTGGTAGAAGCTGTAAGGAGCTTGGTTGGTTGTTTTGGAGGAGCTTTTCATGCTGGCTTTCCTAATGAACTTGACTGTTTTCATCCTCTGAGGAGCTCGGGACCTCGTTGGCACTGAGAATAGCTTTGGTTCACTTTAGGGGAGCTCTGGTTCTCACTCTGAGCATTGCTTCCTGGCTTTGGAGGGGAAGATGATGCACTGCTGGTCTCCTAGAGAAACTTGCTGCACTGGCTTCCCTGATGGGAACTCGGCTATCTTGATCATCAGAGAAGCTGGGGACCTCACTGTTGCTGAGGATGGTTGTGGTATCCTTCGAGGGAGCTCTCATTCTTCTGAGTGTCACTTCCTGGCTCCAGTGCAGATCTTTTAGCCTGCTAGCACAGCTCCTTCATCCCACTGGCAAAGGCTTCCTAGATTCCACCACTGACCTTTGGGCCTTCCCAGTGCAGATCCATGAAACAGGCCTGCATGAGATACTGTTATGAGCTCTAGGCCTCCAGGTGGACTCGTGGGAGGCATTGTTATGAGTCTAGGTCTTAAGCTGGACTCATGCAGGACATTTCTGTGGGATCCAGTTCCTCAGCTAAATTCCTTGGTCTCAGTGTGTGGACAGATTTCCTGCACTCTCTTGTATATCATTCTTTGGATGACTGTTAATAATAATCTTATAAAATATGTGTCCTGTATTATATATTGTTTCCCCATACAAATAAGCCTCAAACCAACAAACATTGCCCTATTTCAGGTTTCTTAGAGTGTAAGGGGTGAGAAAGCAGCTGCTAAGGCCCCTGTTTGCTTGCTTTGCTCACTTCTGCCTTGCATGAACTGATTCTCCTCTGCAATGCCTGTCTGCCATGTCACCCTACCTTGGAGGAGGGTGATCATGGACTGAAACGTCTTTAAACTGTGAACAAAATAAACTTTTCCTCCCTTAACTTTGAGTGTTGAGTCATTTTTCTCAGGAGCAAGAAAAAGGAGACACAAACAGACCTCTTTGTTTTGAAATCATGGCTTATTCTGATACTTTTGTTTAGAATAAATAGAACCTTGGGTACTGGAAAAAGAGGACCATACCCTGTGATCTGAAACACTGCTGCAGAAGAAGTGGAGTGCTGGCCACTGGAGGAAAGAGGTGCTTCTTGGAGGTCAAGGATGAGAGGGATAACCTATGGAGTGATTAGATACTGCCCACTCTCAGGCCTTCCTGACACAGAACGAGGGACAATTGTTTCCCTTCCAAAATGTCCAAGAAATCGAGCTCACTAGAGTAGAAAGAAGAACGGGCAAGCAAGGAGACGTTGAGAAAGGACAAAGCACACTGCACTTTCTTTTGTGGGAGGCTGAAGCCTTTTGTCCTCACCAACCCTCACTCTCAAGTCCTTGCAGTTATGAGCGGAGCCATTCTTCCAGCGCCCTCTGTCTCTTCCATTCCCATAGTGCTCTAGTGGCTGTGATGCAGAGTCCCTAATGAACATGAGTCTTTCATGACCTGTTGAGCCCTTGTGGAGCATCTCCTGTATTCAAGGCAGCACCTTGATTCACCCCTGGCTTCCTGAGCCCTGGGTGTGTATGTTGCAGTATTGTTCTGAAACATTGTCTAAACTGATTATGTGTAGGCAGAAAGTCATAGAGTTCTGAGCTAAGTAGAAATTGGAGTTGAGTGGAACCTCCCCAGTATCTTAGCTTTCTTCCCTGAGTATAATGCTTGAGGATATGAAGCCTTTAGGGAATAGTGTGTATTTGTAAAATGACCAGAATGCACTGTGAAAACAGAAAATTATGGGCCCTGTTGTAGAGCGTTCATATTCATTTAATCTGCTATAGAAAAGCATTACAATTATACTACTTTAAGATACTGGGCATTGAACCCAGATGCTCCTGTATTGTAAGTGAGAGTTCTACCACTGAGCTTCTTAGCTGGTCCTTTTTATTTTTATTTTGAGACAGGGTCATGCTAAGTGGCCCAGGCTGGGTTCAAACTTGCTTCATCATCCTAAGTCGCTACAATTAAAGTTTACCCAACATGGTTGGCTGAAATATATAGTACAGTACATATTAACAAGGTTCTAGGTGATGTTTTGAGGCCCATTGATTTTAAAACTTGTATTGAGTGTTGGGTTAGGCTTGTGAATGTTGAGGAAACAAGGACGACCAAGAAAAATCCTTGAGGAGCTCTCAATCTCTGAATGCCTCATGCCAGCTCATTGAAAGTCACTTCATATTATCCCCTCAAAAGCAGAGCAAGAGCTAAAGAGTGTCAAGCCTCCTGAATTTATAACCCTTGACACAGGCACACATTCAGATAGCACCACTCCCACACAGGAAGCACACTCACACAAACAAAATATGCTCAATTAAACTAAAGGTCACTGACCCACCTTACAGCCTGGTGGAAGAGGTGTTCACAAAGTTTGACTCCCCCTCCCCCAAGTCCTCTCCAGAGGGTCAGAGAACTCTGAGGGTACAGATTCCTGTGATCCATGTTGTAGATCCTGACGATGGGATCCACTCAGGCTGAACCCATAGCCCTAACTGACTCCAGGGTGCCAATTTGGTCATGATTCAATGGAGGCAGAAGAGGAAGTGCCATACAGAGCAATCCAAGTTTTCATCCCAGATTTTGGAAGAGGCCTCCTTCCCTTTCCTGTTTTTCCTTGCAGTCTTGTTTCCTGAGTGCAGGCCTGGGTCTTCTGGGACTGCAGTCCATCTCATCAGAGTGCGCAGGATGCCAAGGAAGGACTTCATGCCTTATTTTTGCTGTTCTGTTCTCTATGAGAAGCACAGGGTCAGTGAGTCTTAACTGCAAGTCTGCACCTCATAGATATTTGGCTCCTTCCATACATAGCTGTTTCTTCACTTCTGGTTCCCCACCTAGACTGAGTAGGGTTTCCAGTCTGTAGGGTTGGATAGTGCTGGACACAATGTACTCCCGCTTCCTGCCCTTTCCAGCTCTTCTTCTGGGTCTTCTCTTCCATCCCCCTGACGGTGGAGGTATGGGTGGTGTCCTTCTGATGCTGGAAAGGGGTCACCACGTGATTGACCTCATTCCCTTGACTCCAGTAGGTGACCTGGCCCAACACAGCCCTGAGACATCCAGGCGCTCACCGGTACAGCCTTGTTGCCTGGATAAGCCCCCTTACCCAGGGTGTAGACAGGGAAGGACTCCTCACTTTTGGATGCCTTGTGTGGAAGTCTCAGGGATGAGGTGTACTGGGGATTTCAGAGTCCCAGCAGCAGGGGTCTCTGAGGACTTCTCTTCTGCCCTGGGCCTCCAGGTGAGGGCATCTCAGCCAGGTTCCTCTCCTCTGATTGCTCCTTGATACCTTGAGGAGCCAAGCTTGATGGTGTATATCTGTAATTCCAGGGGAATGAGGATTGGCTCAGGTGGGCTGCACAATGAGACTCTGTCTCAAAGGAAACAAAATACAAACAGTACACACAAACCTTTTAAGGATTTCTGCAGAACCTAGAGTGTTTTGTGAAGCCCTTATCCCCAGCAAGTAGTCATGTTACTGTCAGCATATGCGACAGCTGAGCAGCATTTCTAAGGACTCAGAAATGTCCCTGTGCATGGATATCCTTGGTAATTTTGCCCTGAAAATCCCTGCCTTTACTAAGAAAGTAATCTGCACCTTGTTCCAGACTAAGTAACCCTGAGACTTCCCTTAGCATGATGTGGTGCCAGGATGAGACTTTGTTGGTTCCCAGTTACAGAGAGTCATATACGTGGGGGAGGAGAACATGTGCTTCTTTTTAGCTGGAATGGACTTACTTTAAGGGAGGCTGGCACCAAAGAATCAGACACATTGCTGGAGCCAGTCTCTGGTTTTGAAACGCCACATACCACACTAATATTTTCCATCTACTTATAACTGGCCTAGAAACTATACAGGAAAAACCAGTTATGATTATACTTGGGCAGTCATGATGGTTATGATTAAAGATGGTGTAGTCATGTCCATCTGCATCTGTTCAGCTGGGAAAGGCCACCTTTAGTAGGTGAGAACTGTTACTGCTGTGTGAGTTTTGTGAAAGTCATTCTGTTCTAGTCTCAACTCAGCACCGGGAGTTTCACTCGTGGGAGCCCCCTCACCCCTTCCTTACCTCCTTTGCCTCAGATTTCTAATTCCCCTTTGGAGTCCTCACTAGCAAAACATCATCTCTTCATGTCTGCTTCCTTCAGCTATACTTGTAGTAGTGAGGGACTGATAGCGACTTATTATCTGAAGGAGTGATTCGGAGTCACCAGCCTGATGAGGAAACCTGTGTTGACAGAAGCAATTCAATGTACTTTATCTCCAAGAATAGGTTGCCAACATCTCCTACCTGTGTTTACAAAGCCCATGCAAGGCGCTGGCACACAAATGAGAATAAAGACACTGTCACTGCAACCTGATCAGAGAGGTACAGGTGTCATGGGGTTTGTGTGGATTTCTGTGTGGGCACTGAGGGGAGAGAGGGAGTAGTGGTCTAGACTCATGTTTTTCTTGGAGGCATGATATGGGATATGCAAGGATATATATATAGCAATAAGACAAAATCACTTCAAAGTACAGGGAGGTGGGCATCATTAATTTTAAAAATATGTTCTGAGAAGACAGTAGTTTTTAGGGAGTAAGATGCAGGCTCCATTCCACAGCACTGGATACCTGCCTTGCTCAGCCCTCTGGATTCTCACTTCCTCTTCCAGTTTAAACTAGGTGAGACTCTTGTCCTGCACCACTGTCCCCGTTCCTGGCTTCGGTGAAGTCATGCTGGTATATGTGGCAGCCTTTGTGGGCTTGTTCTACCTCCTGTGCTGGTACCGGGAGAGGCAGGTGGTGAGCCACCTCCAAGACAAATATGTCTTCATCGCGGGTTGTGATTGGGCTTCGGGAACCTGCTGG